TGCACTGGAACTCGTGCGGGGCGCACACTGCGCGGGACAGAGAGCCGGTCGGCCGGCCGGACCCCATCCCTGCCGACCGGCCCACTGGTCCTGCTACGGGGTCTCTGACCCTCACCTGTGGGCCGGCACGGGTTCCACCGAGGGCCTGAGCAGGGTGTAAGGTCAGGCACAGCAACCTGGGCCCTGCCACGAACCAGCTGGGTGACCCTGGTCAACCACTGCCCGGTCATCTCTCTCCGGAGCACGCCCGCAGCTCCAGCCACCTCAGGCGGAAGGGTTGCTGGGCCCAGCGCTCACAGGACCACCTACGGGCCTTTGCTGAAATGCTCCATCTTCTGGCAACCCACCTCTTCCCCACCACCGCCTCTACATTTTTTAATCTAGTTATCATCTTTCCAGGCCTCAAATTCTGCTCCACAAGACGCTGCATACTCCCCTGCTTGGGAAATCTCCCTCCTTCCCTGGGCCTTTTACAACCTGTGCAGGTGTATGGTTTCATGGCCTCCTGAATCTGGCCCGTGACCACAGAAGGCCTTTGCCCTCAGTGTCCAGCATGGAGCTCCAGCAGAGGTGGAGTGGACGGGTACCAGACTCCTGGGTCTGAGGGACAATTAAGCCTGTGCAGTAATGAAGGCCACAGGTCACTGCACTGCCTGGGGCCCTGGGCTTCCTCTCTCTGGAGAGCTGGTTTGAACTCAGAGGCAGGAAAGTACTTTAGGGGAAAAAAAAAAACTGCCCAATTGCTAGTGTACAGATAGGAAAGCTGAGGCCCAGAGAGGAAAGTGACTTTACTCAGGGTTACATCATCATGCTTTGGTGACAGGGGGACCACAACTCAGGTTTGGAATACTTCTTCTCTACTTGGACTTTTTTTTCCTCGGCTTTCCTGGTTTCCCCCTCGCTTCCTGGAACGTAAGCGGTTTTCAGGCCAACAGCCTCCTGTCCTCCTTTGTGTCTTTAGACACTGGCCAAGAACTGGCCTGGGGGTCCAGGAAGGTAATGGATGCAGTCAGTGGCTATGACCACAGGTAACGGGTGGTGGCAGTACCAGATCTCTCCACGTGGGGGCGCCCAGAGCCCGTGTCTCTATTTTCTGATGGGGAAAAATGTCAATTTTCATTGTTATGGAACATAAAGTGATGTCTCACAATGTAGGTGTAGGTCATGACACGTGTTTCTGACAGCTCTGCCAGTTTCTGACAGCTGCATTCTTTTTCTCCTCCTGGGCTTCTGGGCCAGCTAGTTCCCCTAAAATCATGAGCTCCGAGAGCACTACACAGGCGGGCACCTCGTTCTTTCTTCTACACCTGCCTCCAGGCCTAGCGCACAGTAGTAGGAACCCACCGGATGAAATGAGTGAGGCCCGGCCACGGTCCCCGCACGCCCAGGCCTTGCTGGCCTGCTCCCTGGGAAGGAGATAATCCTGTGTTTGAAGCTCGGTGATGTGGAACAGTCCCAGTGACCACTTCCATCTGTGCCCGCTGAGGCTGCTGGAATGTCTTCCCCACCCTTGACATGTGTGCTCTCGGCAACAGTAGTCCTTCGCACCTCAGGAACCCTTCCCAGCCCCTCGCCACACAGGCCGCCCCTCCTCCTGGACTTGTGGAATGGATGGATAGATGTCAGGCATGGCACAAAGCTTTGCTCTCCGGTTCTGAATGTGCATCACAATCCCATCCTTCAGCCTGGGCACTTTTCCTCCCTTGTCTGAGCCTCAGTTTCCTCATCCATCAAAATAGGAATGAAAATGGCTACGCATGAGGTGGTGTGAGGATGAAAGAAGAAAACTTCTCTTCAGTGCTGGGCCATTACCACTGTCCCGACTGATATCCTTCCTGTCCACCTACCAGGGCCCCAGGGAAACGGGCCCCTCCCTGGAGGTGGCCGCCACTCCCCAGCACTACCCACCAGGCCTGGCAGACCCTGGGGTTCCGGCCCCAGACTCACAGGTGGCACAGCCGGCCTCATCCGCTCCACCCTCACAGTCCTTCTCTCCGTCGCAGCGCCACGAGGCCGGCACACACTTGTGGCTGGTGGGTCCACAGCTGAGCTTCTCCGCAGGGCACACTTGCTGGGCTGTGGAGACGACACCCACGCACGGCTTAGCTGCGGGGGACACAGGGCGCAGCACCAACCAGTCCTGTCACCCACTCGCAGCCAACCGGCCCAAGGCCCCGAAAAGTCCATCAGGGCCCGAATCCCATCTGCCCCTAGGACTTTCCAAATCCTAGATCCGACCCCATCACTGCCCTACCTAACACTCTCAGGGCCCCTGGTCCCCAGCAGCCAGGCTGCTCCTCAGTCCGGCGGGCCCTGACTGACTGACTCCATGACCACCCACTCCCCGGTGCCTCCTCTTTAAGCTCCAGCAACCCGAAGCCACCATTCCCTGCTGAACCACAGCTGTGTGCCCTTGGGTAAGATGTACCCAGCTGGGTGTCACTTCGCCCTCCAGGTCAGCGATTCCATGACCTGACCCTGCAGACTGGAGGGCTCACCGAGGCCCCAACAGGCCCAACCCGCCCCTCCCCCAGCGATGGCGCTAAGCCTGCAGCTGAAAACAGCCGCCCGCCGCATGGCAGGGCCCAGCGGGACTGCACAGCTATAATTACTGCAGCCGCAATCACAGGCTGACTCAATCAGGGGCCTGAAGCCCCAGGGTTGATTCTCAATTTGGAAGAAGGAATGAGAACCCTATTCAGTTCTTATCCTGAGCCTCCTCTAATGCATCTCAGGCCTCCATGGTTGGCTCCCTTCTGCCTTCCATGAGGTGCAAGAGGCCCGACCTCAGTGGTGTCTAGGATATACCAGGCGCAGTGCTGGATGTTTCTATTAAATCTTTATAATAATCCAGCAGGGTGAGGATTACGTCCTGGCCTCCAGTGTGGAGATGGAGGATGTGGGCTCTGGATGCCTGGCTTTGAATCACAGCTCACCCACTCACTGGCTTTGTGACCTTGGTATTCCCTGGAGATTCCATGACCTGTCTCCCAGGGTGGTTATGATGACCCGGCCCATGTCTGTAAAGCACTGAAAACAACACTCAGCCCAGTGCTCACTATAAGTTGCCTTTCTTATTAACCACACGTAGCCTGGGTCTTGGTGAGCCATTCAGTGAGTACTGATCGCACACTGCTGAGTTCTTACCACACAGCTGGTGAAGAATGGTGTGAGGATCCAGGCAGCTGTGTCTGGGTGCCACAGCCCGGACCTGGCCCACTGTACCCCCCGGGCAGTGGTCACTCGTGTCCCACTCTGACTTCTGATCTCACACCAGTTTGCTATCCTTTTACTTCTACAGCTGGGATGAGAGGCTGCGAGGGATGGAGAAAAGGCACAGAAAGGGGGGGCTGCGTCCAGGTCCCCAGACAACAGCATGTCATGGGAGTAGAGCAGGTCTGAGGCTTCTTAAGTGTGGATCCCAAAGTCATCCCTGGGAATACACTTCACAAACTATAAGGCAATCAATCCACACTGAGAGCATAGGATTCATTTTACAGAAGTTTCCAAGCAACGGTGTCAGGCAGAGCTCTGGAGAGCACGGACACTTAAACGGCTCCTTTAAAAGGCCACCTCAAGTTTGCCATGAGGGCTGGTGAAGGAGACTGGAATCCTCCTAGGGCATCTCCATCACACTGGGAGCCCTCCAGGGCCCCACCAGGACAGGGCAGTGCTGGAGTTGACCAGCCCTTCCCAGAGGATCCTCTGACCAATGGGTAGAGGAGAAGGCCGATGACAGGTGCAGGTTCTGGGGCCCTGGCTCATACCCACTGAGTCTGGACTGAGAGTGCACAGCTCAGGAATCAACATTTTAGCAATTCTCCATCCCCAGCTCAGAATATTCCCAGGTAGCTCTGTCTGAGAACTCCAGTTAATATACCGAACCCCTAAAAGATCAGGGAAATTAAATGTCTTTCAGATCTAATACCATAAAAGTGATAGAGCAGTCCCAGGTACCTGTAAGCTCCAGAGACAGCAGTAGGTGGAAGGGCAGGGCACCCCTCTTATCCTTATCGCTGAGCCAGGCACCAGGCAGCAGATGCTCCCAGGGGAGTGGGCAGGGCCAGTGACCAGGCGCCTAAAGCGTGGCAGGTGACTCTGCACCTGGTCAAGGTGGAATGCTGGTGTCTCTCAAAGTTCATGCCAGAACCCGATCCCCAACATGGTAGTGTTAAGCAGTCCTCATGAATGGGATTCGTGCCCTAATGAAGGGGGCCCAGAGATTCCCTCGCCCCTCATGGCATGAAGATTCAGGGAGAAGGCATCATCTGTGAGAAATGGGTCCTCACCAAGCACTAAATCTACTGGTGCCTTGATCCCGGACTTCTCAGCCTCCAGAACTATAATCAATAGATTTCTTTTATTTATAAACTGCCAGTGTAAGGCATTTGTTAAAATAGCCAGAACCAACAAAGATGCACCATCTCCCTCATCCTGACAGATAAGCAGACCCTGCAGGCTGTGAGTGCAAGTTCCAGGGCAGCCATTCATGGGCAGCATCAGGTCAGTGGTGCTCCTGCACTGGAACAGGGCAGCAGTCCTGCAGGTGAGCCACTGTATACACAGGCGAGGAAACTGGGCCTCAGGGAGGCCGAGTAACTGACACAAAATACACAGCAAGGGCGAGACAGTCTGGGCGCCTCTGACTAGAGCCTTGTCCTCTCCATCAAACCCTTGTGTGCTCCAGAACCAACCCCATACTCTCCTCCCCATAGTCCAGGTGACTGAATGGCCCTTGGTGGTAGGCACCACCTCCCCAGGTTCTGCAGACCCCGGTGCAGCAGGCAGCTGATTGAACTTTTAATGAATATTTACACAGTTAATAGCATAACCTTTCAGCAAGGACAATGATTAAACAATCTGTCTGCTTCCTTTCTTTATAATTAATAAGGCATTTGCTGTGTCCCTAAATAGACAGCCCTAATTACAGGCTCTCAAGGATTCAGCGGGACCTGGCACGTGACCCCTCACCCCCGCAGAGCCACGCATCTTGGAAGGCCAGGAGAGCCCTGGAGGTCATTCTGGTGAGGAAGCCCTGGAGGAGCAGGAGCCCAAATCCAGAGAAGGTAAGGTGCTGGGTGCCCCTACTGGGTCCCCCTGCAAGCTCAATCTCTCTCATGATGGACAGCTCTTCCCCAAAGCCAAGACTCCAGCTGATGAGAGCCGCCGGGTCAGGCCTCTCCACTGCAGAGCCCTGGGAAGTGCTGAGGGGCAGTACCTCCCTGTGAGGTTGGGCCTCTTATTCCTTCCAAGGAAGTTGCCTGCTCAGTGTCTTGGAGGAGCAGAACTGTCTTCCATCCTAGGCCCCAATACACTGCTTCACTTACTGTGCTTAACCACTGCACATGAGAAAAACAATCCCCACTGGTCTCCCTAGCACATCTGCTATGCAGCACGATGTAGGAGAAAAGACCATGAGCTTTAGAGGCAGACAGACCTTGTCCAGATCCCACTCACTGCTACCCAGGTCCTTAGGGTTGGGTAATTCACTCTTTGTACCCTGGCTGCCCTCATTTGAAAATGGGGCTAAACAGTCTTCTAGGGTTGGTGTGTGGTTTAAATGTGGAAATACGGAAATCCTTATACTCAAAAGCCTAGAACAAACTTGGAGCTTGGAACACAGTTGCCCGTGTCTTAGTTCATGAAATATAAATACGAATGGCTGGTAGAGGGACCCAGTCTCCCCCTTGGAAAGACACACGAGTTCGCAGGGTTCCCTTTTATTTTTTTTTTTTTTATTTTATTTTTTTTAGGGTTCCCTTTTAGACAGCTCCTATCCCAGAGCAGCCTCTCTCTCTGGGATGGATGCCCCAGGGGACACCGCTGTCCAAGCACCCCAGGTCCTGCGAGGTAGGAGTGAAGAACCCCACACTGTCTATCGAACAACAGGAACCCTCTGCAGTCGGCAAGGAGGCTTGAAACACCACTCTGCAGTGGCTGCAGGCATTTATTAATTTCCAGAGAATCCTGCCCCAGAAATCCAAATCCACAGGTATTTTCTCCAATTCATAAATTCACAAATTAACAAAAAGGGAATGTCTGTTGGATTAAAAAACCGAAAGTACTTGGCAGCTGCACACTGATCAGGTAAGTCTACTGTGTCCATTCACATGGGTTTCTGGGGGAGACAACCTCCAGCTGGGGCTCCGAGGAGACCAGAGTCTGGGGCAGTGGAGACCGTCCCACTACGCAGAAGGGGCCAGGCTACGCTAAGCTCCTCCACATGGGGTCGGGAGTCTCTATTGCTGGGCCTGCCTTTCCCGACCCATCACAAAAAGACCCATCACAAAAAGGTGAGCGTGGTTAATGAGTGAGGTCCTCTCCTCCTTCCAGGTTCTCAGATGCAAGGGAGAGCTCCACATTCAGCGAGTAGCACCTGGTGCAGCACATCCCCCTTGAACCAGCCTCCCTCCCTGCCCACACCCTCCCAACAGCTGCCTGAAGGTGGGTCAGAGCCGTCCCTAATCAAGCGAGCTATAATTAGAGCCGAAATGCTACTTTCATTAGGCAAATTGCTGTGACTCTGGCTATTTGATAAGTACAGAACTCAGAATCAGTGAGAAACAGAAGTAGGAGAAGCCCTGGTCAATTAGGGGTAGACAACACTGAAGGAAAAAACTTCGGTATTAAGGAGACCGGCTTCCTCAGCCCTTTCCCTCTCTATACAACCTCCCCAAAGTACACTATTCTAATATTTAATATCATAATCTCCTAATAGTTATGTTAAGGGCAGAGGGCTTGGAGTCCACATATAATAATAAAAATAACACTGTCATTTATTCCACTAAGTACCACTACCAATTTTCTCACTAAGTCCTCACAGCCCCTATATGGCAGGTGCCATTACGCCACTTTATGAAGAAACTGAGTCTCAGGAAGACTGGGTGGTTGTATTAAGTCATGAGGGCTAAAAAGGAGCAGGCCAGCTATATCAGATACTAAATTCGCTGTGCATTACTATCTATGATCTTTCTATTAGGTGCAAGGAATGGGTCTCTATCCTGAGAGCTGGCACAGGCCCAGAAACCTGGTAGGCTATGGAGGTTGCTATGGCAACACCAATTAAATGGACAGCGGGTTGGCTGCTGGGCTCTCCTTCGGTTGGGAAGCTGTGATCAAGCCTGCTACTACATCCTGCTGCCCCAAATTCTGCCATAGCCTCGTGGTCCCACTATGGCTAACCTCCTCCAGGCAGCCTGCCCTGGCCACGGGCCCTCATCTGCCTCTGACCGATGTATCTGCCCAGGAAGTAGGGGCCTGGGGGAGGGTCGGGGGGACACCTGCCAAACTGCCAAACCCATTCCAGCCTCAGTTTCCGTAAGTGGGGTCCAGCTCCCTCACAAGGCTACATGAAGATGAAAGTCATAGGTGGGTGTGGCGAGGCTTTGTTCCTTCCAAAAAGCTCAGGGCAAAGCATGGGACTTCCCTTCCGCCCGGCAGCCTCCAGGGCAGCAGTCGGCCGCCCAGTGGGGTGAAGAAAGGATGGGCCCGTACTGTGACTGAGGAGGGCAGGGACAGCTGCACGAGGAAATGAGGGCGGCTCGTCTGGGCCGGAGGTCTCTTGCTCTCTCTTTCTCTCTCTCCCTTTCTCCTTCTCTTGAATGGAGGGAGACTGGTAGCTCTGTTGCTAGGAGACGAGGAACCGCAGTTATCACCAGCCACAGCCCTAGATGGGACTCTGGCTTCCACTGTCTCCATCTCCGCCCCTGGGGTGACCGTTACCCCAGCCCCACCCCGTCCACGGGTGTCTCCTCCACTCAGCCCTTTGTCTCAGCCTGGTCTGCTCAAGCTCCGCCTCTGGACCACTGGGTCCCTCCCCGCCCTCTTCTCATCTCCTTTTTAATTTAACAAATGTCACGGAGTGACCTGCTGGGTGTAAGTTTGCTTTGAGGATTAGGGCCTGGAAAGGAAATCATGGAGAGACAAAGCCCTGAGTGCGGGAGGCGGGCCCAGGGCTCCAGGGCCCCTCTCCGTGGCCGCCTCTGTTGCCACTGAGCTGCTGACGGAGTGTGAGGCTCCTGGACACAGGCCACCCATGGCACGGGCAAGCGTTGGTGCCTCAGCGTCCATGGCTGGTGCCCATGGAGAAATCACTCAACCTCTCTGAGCTTCAGGGTGCACCTTTACAAGATTCAGGAAGTGACAGTACCTGCCCTCTGAGGTTGCTGTGAGGTTGAAAGGAATTAACTTGAGAACAAAGAGGTTAGCGTGGTATCTGGCACATAGTAAACGCACGGCAAGCACCAGCTGCCGTTAGCGCTACTGGAATTACGATTAGGGTCCTAGAGAACACAAAAGGGAGGCCTGGGAAGGCTGTGGCTGCTTCTGGGCAGAAGGACTCAAGGGGCTGCACTCTAGGAATAGGGTCCGACCTTCAAGACGACGGCGAAGAAAGCCCAGAAACAGGTTGGCTAGCAACCAGATATCCTTAACTGTTCACCAGGAGCCCACCGTGGGCAGGGCACAGCGCTCCACTGACCACTCTGTCGGAGCCTCCCCACCTGCCAGCTCAGAAAAGCGCATGAGGAAACTGAGGTCCAGGACAAGGCCCATCGCCCCCAGCCGCAGGGGCGAGACTCACTGCAAGTGGTCTCAGACTCATCGGAGCCGTCGGGACACTCCTCCTCGCCGTCACACTTCCACCGCTCAGGGATGCAGTGGCCGTTGTCGCAGGTGAAGTCGCTGTCCGCACACGTCTTCTTGGCTGTGAGGCAAGGAGACGGGTACGAGGGGTCAGAGGGGCGCAGGAGGCTTTTCTAAGACGCACATGCAGTCAGGTGGCCAGAGTGACCAGAATGCACCACTCGAAACGCCAGGCCACATGACCTCCTCCTACAGCACCACGGGGCCACGGAGTACCTCACCGAGCAGAGAAAAAGCACCACGTAAAGACAGGCAGCCCCTGGCTGTGTCCCTCTAGTCCGGCAGCTCAACTCCAGCAAGGGCAACGGGTCCAACACACACCTTTCTGTCCCCTCCAAGCTCACCTGCATTGTCACCACCTCCAAGCAGCTTTCCCTCAGCCCCTTGAGTCCCACCAGCCATTTCTCAGTCTCCTTTACCTGCCTCTCCCCCGCTCCATCCATACTAGAAGTCAAAGCCCATCCAGAAGCACCCAGGAGCTGGTGATCACGAACCTGAAAGTACCTGATTACTTTGTGACTAATCACAAGATCAGTGAGGTATCTTATGCTCACAGTGGTGACCAAGGACCTGTGGGCAGTCCCCGCCCCAGAGGCCTTCCTGAGGTCCTGCAGGGGAGACCTGTTTCTACACCAGGGTTCGGATCCCAGGAGGGCCTCCTTCCTTCTGTAAGATCTTGGGGCTGTTACTTGCCCCCCCC